TTTGTTTGTGGTTGGATATCAACTTCTCAATCCATTTATTTGTGGTTGGACATCTGAGCTGTTTCCATGTTCTTGTGATGGTGAATAATGCTGCTGTGAACATTGGTGCACAAGTTTCTGTTTGAGCATCAGTCAGGTCTCATTTTCTTTGGGGTATATTCCAAGCAATGTAATAGCTGGGTCATATGGAATTTCTTTGTTCGGCCTTTTGAGGAAGCATCAAACTGCCTTCCAGAGTAGTTGTACCTTTGTACAATCCCACCATCAATGTAAAGGAATTCCTATCTCACCATGTCCTCTCCAAGATTTATTACTTGCTGTCCTGTTAAACTTTGCCACTGCTACTGGAGTGAGATGGTATCTCATTGTGGTTTTGATTTGCATCTCTCTTATTGCCAGTAATTTGGAGCATTTTTTCCCCATATGTCTGTTGGCCATTTGAGTATCTTCTTCTGTAAAAATTCTTTCCATGGAGGCCGAGCCTTCGGATTCCGGCAGAGCAGCTGCGCATCCTACATACACTCCTGCAGCAGCATCGGAGCGTGAGCTGAGCCACGCGGAGAACCACAGAAGCCATGTCGAAGCAACACAGTGAAGTGGGCTCTGCCTTCATTCAGACCCAGCAGCTGCACGCAGCCATGGTTGACACGTTCCTGGAGCACATGTGCCGCCTGGATATCGACTCTGCACCCATTACAGCCCGGAACACTGGCATCATCTGTACCATTGACCCAGCTTCCCGGTCAGTGAAAATGTTGAAGGAAATGGTTAAGTCTGGAATGAATGTGACTCGTATGAACTTTTCTCACGGAAGTCATGAGTACCATGCAGAGACCATCAAGAATGTATGCACAGCTACAGAAAGCTTTGCTTCTGACCCCATTCTCTACCAGCCAGTGGCTGTGGCCCTGGACACTAAGGGACCTGAGATTCGAACTGGGTTCATCAAAGGCAGTGGCACCGCCGAGGTGGAGCTGAAGAAGGGAGCCACCCTCAAGATCACTCTGGATAATGCGTACATGGACAATTGTGATGGAAATGTCCTGTGGCTGTACTACAAGAACATTTGCAAAGTGGTGGAAGTGGGCAGCAAGATCTACATGGATGATGGACTTATTTCTCTGCAGGTGAAAGAGAAAGGGGCTGACTTCCTAGTGACCGAGGTGGAAAATGGTGGTTCACTGGGCAGCAAGAAGGGCGTGAACCTCCCTGGCGCTGCTGTGGATCTGCCTGTGGTGTCAGAAAAGGACATCCAGGATCTGAAGTTTGGGGTAGAGCAGGACGTGGATATGGTGTTTGCATCTTTTATTTGAAAAGCAGCCGATGTCCATGAAGTCAGGAAGGTCCTGGGAGAGAAAGGCAAGAACATCAAGATTATCAGCAAGATCGAGAATCATGAGGGAGTTAGAAGGTTTGATGAGATTCCAGAGGCTAGCGATGGAATCATGGTGGCTCGTGGTGATCTGGGCATTGAGATTCCCACAGAGAAGGTCTTCCTGGCTCAGAAGATGATGATTGGGCGATGCAACCGAGCTGGGAAACCTGTAATCTGTGCCACGCAGATGCTGGAGAGCATGATTAAGAAGCCCCACCCGACCCGCGCCGAGGGCAGTGATGTGGCCAATGTGGTCCTGGATGGTGCTGACTGCATCATGCTGTCCGGTGAGACGGCCAAAGGTGACTACCCACTGGAGGCTGTGCGCATGCAGCACCTGATTGCCCGTGAGGCAGAGGCTACCATCTACCACTTGCAATTGTTTGAGGAGCTCTGCCGTCTAGCGCCCATTACCAGCGACCCCACAGAAGCCGCCGCCGTGGGCGCCGCAGAGGCGTCATCCAAGTGCTGCAGTGGGGCCATAATCGTCCTCACCAAGTCTGGCAGGTCTGCTCACCAGGTAGCCAGGTACCGCCCCCGGGCCCCCATCATTGATGTGACTCGGAACCCCCAGACTGCCCGTCAGGCCCACCTGTACCGTGGCATCTTCCCTGTGCTGTGCAAGGACGCAGTGCAGTCAGTCTGGGCTGAAGATGTGGACCTCCGGATGAACCTGGCCATGAATGTCGGTAAAGCTCGAGGCTTCTTTAAAAGTGGAGACGTGGTCATTGTGCTGACCGGGTGGCGTCCAGGCTCTGGCTTCACCAACACCATGCGTGTAGTGCCTGTGCCACGATGGACCCTGGGGGACGTCCTCCAGCCCCTGTCCCATCCTCTCCCCACAACCCATCCATTAGGCCAGCAACGCTTGTAGTGCTTACTTGGGATAGTGTGGCACTGGTGGGCTGGGACAAGAGGGAAGAAAGACAAAGTTCTGTGACACATGACTATTTGTTAAGACCCTGGTTTGGTGAGGTAACTCGGGCTGACTGCCTTCATCTTTCTCCTCTCGGGCAAGGGAAAAATGAGGGGTGCAGGACTGGAGGCCCTGTGCTTATTTAATGCAAAAGGTCAGTGATTCCCTCTCCTTTGTGTTCAGTTCCTGTAGAAAATTCAGTCCTGGCCTGGGGTCAGGAAATAGCAAGAGCCAGGGCCGAAGCCACGGGGCAGTGGTTAAAGTGTACGCAGAGTGGCCTTGGCCCTTAATCGCTTCTGCAGTCCTTCAGCCTCCCCTGTTCTCAACCTTGTTCGTGTATTGGGTGCTTCTCTTTCCTGCACTCCATTCAGCTGTCTCTACAGACAAACACTCCTCCCTCCACCTTCCATTTTCCCACTACAGCCACCTCCAGGCCTGTTGCTATAGAGCCTACCTGTATGTCAATAAACAACAGCTGAAGCAAAAAAAAAATTCTTTCCATGTCTTTTACCCATTTTACAATTGGGTTATCAGTCTTTTTCTCGTGGAGACGTAGGAGTATTCTACAAACTTTCATTATGAGACTCTTGTCTGTGATGATATTGCCAAATGTTTGATCCCAGTTAATAAATTTTCTTTTCACCCTGTTGGAAAAAGTATTTGATGAACATAGGGATTTAATCTTTAGAAGGTCCCATTCATCAATTTTATCCTCTTCAGATTGTACTTTTCTGGCATATTTGGAAGTCTCTTTATACTGTAGATTAGGGCTTCTAAGCTTGATCCCAGTATGTCTCTTATGAACTTTATGGTTTTGGGCTTTAATCTCAAGTCTCTTATGCACCTTGAGATAATTTTTGTGTATGGTGTGAAATGTGTATCCTGTTTCAGCTTTCTGTAGGTAGCAAGCCAGTTTTGTCATCAATATTTGTTGAAGAGGTTGTCATTTCCCCATCAGATAGGTTATATTTTCTTGTTGAATATCAGTTGACCATAGATCGCTGGGTCTATTTCTGGGTTCGCAATTCTGTTCCACTGATCCATGTGCCTATCATTGTACCAGTACCATGCTGTTTTGGTTACTACTGCTGTGTAGTAGGTTTTGAGATCAGGGAGTGCTATGCCTCTCACTTCATTTTTGCTTCTCAGAAGTGTTTTGCTTACCCGGGGTCTCTTGCCTCTTCAAATAAACTTGACAATTTACTTTTTTATCTCCTTGAAAAAGGAATTTGGTCTCTGTATATAGATTGCATTGAATATGTAGATTGATTTTGATTGGATTATCATTTTCACAATATTGAGTCTTCTTTTGGAAGCTTTTGATAGCAAGCAGTATTGGTGTCAATGCTATCTGTTTTCAGACATTTTTTTTGAAGGAGTGGTGTTAGGCACCACAAGTTGTTGTTCACTGAGACTGTGTCTTCACTTGACATGATGGTATTGAGTGGTTTTGTGCTTCTAAGAATTTTTCTTTTTACCTAAGTCATCCAGTTTGTTGCTATAGTATTGTTTATAAGAATCTATCACTATTTTCTTTCTCTCACATTCATTATGTTTTTTTCTTTCATTTTTTTTTACTTGGTTAATTTTCATCATTTTTCTTCTATTCTTTGTAATTCTAGCTCAATGTTTGTCCATTTTATTGGCATTTTCACAGAGGAGACTGCTAGATTTATTGTTCCTTTTAATTATTTTTATGATTTAAATGTTATTACTTAAGCTCTTTTTTTCCCCCTCTTTTCCTCCTTCCAGATTGGTTTAAGCTTACTTTATTCTCTGTCTTCTTACAGTTGTCCTCTCGGGTTGTTTGTTGAGATCTTTCGTCTTTTGACCTGAAGACATTTGCTGCTATAGTTTCCCCTCTGAGAACTGCCTTCATTATATTTCATAATAGTCAGTGGTGTGTTGTGCTAATCAAAAAGCTTCTCATATCCGCTGATTTGAATCCACTCTCAGCTCTGCTGGAGGAAGATATGCAATCTCTTCCAGTAGAGATGTAAAGATGTAACAACATGAAATAATTGTGGCTAAGTCAGAACCACTTATAGTTGGCCCTCCCGTGGGTTTTCAGAGGCTATACATTTTGTAGGAGGAGATTGCCTATCTTTCTTCTGTGGACAGGTGGTTGATTTGAACCACCTGCCTTTGAGATGACAGTACATCTGTCTATCCACTAGACAATTAGATGGTCGGTCGAATTGTTCTTAGTTCAAACTGACTCTGGGAGTGAGTGATTAACTGCCTCTGAGAACCTACTGGAGAATCAACTATGGGTCAGTTCTGACTTGATGGTTATTGTTGTTATGTGTTGTTGAGTCAGCTGTGATCCATAGCAACCCTATGTATAGCAGCTCTGAACCCTGCCCTGTCCTGAGCCAGTTTCACTAATTCTGACACACCAACCCCCACTGCCCCAGTTACTTTATCAATCCATCTTATCCGGGGTCTCCCTCTCCTATCTATCCCTCTCCTGTTCTATCCCTCCACCCTTCCGAGCATGATGTCCTTCTCCAAGGACTGGTCCCTCCTGACCATGTGCCCAAAGTATGTGAGACAGAGCTTCAAAATCCTGGCCTCCAAGAAGAAACTTGGTTTCACTGTCTTTAAGACAGAACTATTTGTTTTCTTAGCAGTCCATAGTGTGTTCAAGACTTCTCCAGCACCACAACTTGAAGGCATCAATTCTTCTGCTGTCATCCTTTGTCGTTGATGGTACTTAACATCAATAACAGTGACATTTCCAGGGTGTGTGTTTCATTTTTTTGTTTGGTTGTTGTTGTTGTTATAGAATCTCTTCTGTTCTTACTGTTACTTTCTTAGGACTATATCAGATAATTTCTTGATAATGTTGTTGATTAACATAGCACACTAGAGTACTAATATGGCATTGTTCTAGTTTACCTTGATTCAGGCAGGCTGCTTCTTGGGACCAGTTGTTGAGACTACAGAAGCCACTGCTTGCCTTGAATGGCAGTACTCCTAGCCGTTTTGCCTTTTTGTAGATAAAATGTGCTCTTGGAATTGATTCCAGGCTTTTGGTGTCGTTTACTTTTATGTTCACTCTTGAGCTTCAAATACAAAAAATATCATGTTCTAGATCTCATTTAGCTGGGAAATCAGATTGGAATCTCTGGGGGAGGGGCGGGAAGACTCGTCCAGTCATTTGAAAATCTCACTTCCTCCCTCATTTTCTTGTTCCCTGCAGGATGATGAAGTGGTTCTTCAGAGCACGGCCACCATACACAAAGAACAACAGAAACTCTGCTTGGCAGCAGAAGGATTTGGCAACAGACTTTGTTTCCTGGAGTCTACGTCCAATTCCAAGGTAGGGCAAACGCTTTTGAGTCTATTAAAATCTTCAGCCTTACTTGCGGCATTAAAATTATTGAGGGATACTCTTGTTTTTCCCTATTTTCTGTGGAAGATATATAAACTAAAGGAATATTGAAATCTTCTGTCACTTATTATGCATTCTTTAATCAAATTGTGAATGAGCTCAGCTCCTATACTAAATCTGAGACACAGCGGTTAATAAAATAAGGGTAATTCTTTGTCCTCATTCTGTCTATAAAGTAGTAGAACAATAAAGAACAAAGAAGTAAAATAGGTTCCAAATGGTTAAGGGCTGAGCAGTGGACGGTAAAGAGAACTCACCATATCATGGAGGGTGTCCAGGAAAGGCCTTCCAGAGACAATGGGATGGGAGCAGACACAGCCATGAGGAAATGCACAGTGTTTCTATCTTAGCACTGGAGGGTGGGCCTTGTATTCGGGAGGAGCTAGCCAAGTGTATCATGTGTAAGGAACGGCAAGAAGGCCACTGTGGCTGTTGGATGAAGCGGCTGGTTGTAGGAGATGAGATACTGTAGAGACCATGTCACTCCTGTAGGGCCATGCATGCATGGTTTAGTGTTCTTCCTGTTGTGAAGGTGGGATCACTAGAGGTCTGTCATCTGATTCAAGTTGCATGTTTAAAAAATTAAACTGGTTGCTATCCTGGGGTTTGACTCCGGAACATCCAAGGGTGTCAGTGAGACCTGTGCTCCATGGAGTTTCGGTGGCTGAATTTTTACAGTGGGTGTTCAGTCTTTCCTTCCACATTGTCTTGGAGTGGACTCAAGTCTCCACCCTGCACTTCACTTAATTAGCATTGGGCCCAGGTTGTCATTTGCACCCCACAAAGGCTTCATCTAGAAGGAGCTTTTAAGAGCTTAGGGAGCTCTGGCTTATCAATGGCTTGAAGTAAGTAGGGAGAGGAAGAGAAGAAACAAGATTAAAAAAGTCCAGGAGGAACTAAGGATGCTTGGACGAGAGTAGCAGGAACAGTGGTGATGCATGGAGATGATTTGGTATATGCTTTAAAGACATGCAATCTCATAGGTCAAATAGTTAAGGATACATGATTGGAAGCAAGCATATCTCTGCTCTAGGACACCAAGTAGAAAACAGTCATCAGTGCAATGTAGTACATCATTTTTAGGTTGGTGAAATACTGTTGCATGCAAACTGTCATTTAATTTCACAAGGAGAGTGTGAGGAATTACAGTCATCACAGTCGTAGACAGCACGGTACTGGCATAATGACAGAAACATAGTTCAGTGGAATAGAATTGAGAACCCAGAGATCAGCCCATCTATCTATGGTCAACTGATTTTTGACAAGGAGATGAAATCAGTTGAATGGGGAAACAACAACCTTTTTAAAAAATGGTGTTGGCAAAATTGGAAAAGTATCTGCAAAAGACTCAAGCAAGATCCACACCTCACTCTATATACAAAACCCAACTCAAGGTGGATCATGGACCTAGGACTAAAACCAAGGACTATAAACTTCATTAAAGAAAAGCTAGAAGCAATGCTAGAAGTCCTAATCCACAACATAAACAGTCTTCTAAGTATCCTGAAAAAGCTGCAACCAGGAGAAGATAAAATAGATGAATGGGATCTTCTAAGAATCAAATCCCTATGCACATCCAAAAACTTCTCCAACAGGGTCAAAAGGGAAGCCACCAACTGGGAAAAAGTATTTGGTAATGACATAGCAGATAAGGGACTTATATCCAGAATTTATAAAATACTTGAGCACTGCAACAAGATAAAGGTAAGTAATCCAATAGAAAAATGGGCACAGGATATGAACAGACACTTCACTGAAGAAGACATTCAGATGGCTAACAAGCACATGAAGAAATGTTCAAAATTCCTACCTAGCTCTAAGAGAGATGCAAATTAAAACAACTATGAGATATCATCTTACCCCAGTCAGAATAGCAAAATTTAACAGAACAGAAAGCAACAAATGCTGGCGAGGTTGTGGAGAAACTGGGACCCTTATTCACTGTTGGTGGGAGTGTTCAGTGTTGCAACCACTGTGGGAGGTGGTATGGTCCTTTCTCAAAAAGTTGAAAATAGAGATACCATTTGACCCAGCAATTCTACTACTGGGAATATACCCCAAAGAGACCATAACTGGCATCCAAGCAGATATACGCACACCCATGTTTATTGCGGCTTTGTTCACAATAGCAAGGAGTTGGAAACAACCTAAGTGCCCATCAACAAACGAATGGATAGAGAAGCTCTGGTATATTAACACAATGGAATACTACGCTGCATTGAAAAACAAGGAACTTATGCAATATTATTCAAAATGGGTGACTCTGGAGGACATTATGCTGAGTGAAATATCTCAGTCACAAAAGGACAAATACTGCATGGTGCCACTGTTGTAAAACAGGACTGACGTCGGGGTTGGGGAGAGACTGAGAAAGATGGGTTCAGTAATGTATACTGCATTGAAACAGATGAGGGAGAAAACTGTTTAAAAAGGATATGTGATTAGGTATTTTTTGTCATGACAGGAGTCTAGAGCGAAGGCTATGTGGTGGAGTGGACCTGGGGAGGGTTTGTAAAACAATGAAAGAATTTGTCTTTTACTCTTCCAAGAGGATAGTGTACTAGGGGGGAGTGTTGGGAGGGGAGAAAAGGGCAACAATGAATGAATGGAAATCCAAAGTCTCTGTAAATTTTTACTGAAATTAATAATAATTTTTTTTAAAAAGAAAGGTAATAGAATCTTAAGTATCAGACCTAAAAGATGCTCACTCTGACCTGAAGAAACAGTGTTAGTTTTCATACTTAGTAGATAATTTAGCTTAAGAATCTGATTTCCCCCTCATATCTTTTTGTTTATTTTGTAAAATAATATTGAATAATATTTCTGTATATGAATTTATTTGTTTGTAGTCATGTCATACCAGGTAATGATATTAAGGTAACAATTTATGACTAAACATTATTTATTTTTTAAATCTTAGATTCATTTTCAATTTGACAACAGTTTAATATTTTGTGATTCAACATATTTATTGGTATTAGATTATTTTACAATTTGACAAGTATTTTTTTAAAATTCATTTTATTAAAGTCCCTGTGGTATTTTTCAGAAAGCTTTCTTCTTAGAAAAATTTTAAAATGGCACATACTTTAACATATGGCACTTTCCTCATGGTTTCGGTTTCTGAGATCTTGTACTTGGGGAAATCCTTTATACCACTTAGCAGTGGGCTTTGATTTTTCACTTTGTATGTTGTTGTTATTGTATACCGTGGAGTTGAAATTGACTAATAGTTGACCCTCCAGTGGGTTTTAAAATTTAGTATATGACAAGGGAAGTGATTGCCCACCTTTCTCCCGTGGAGCACCTGGTGGATTTGAATTGTGTGTCTTTGGGTTGGCAGCACAGCTTCTTGCAGCACTGTAGTCCTGTTGGTGCAGCAGGCAAGCAGTTGGCTACTAATCTGTGCAGTAGCATCTTGGAAGAAAACCTTGGCATCAAAATTCTATGAAGATTAATCACAAGAGAGGAAATTGCTAATCTTTCTCCCGTGGAGCTACCAGAGGATATGAACTGCACACCTTGAGGTTGGCAGAGTACTTTACTACCAAGTAGGCCATGAGAGCTTGCTTCTATAATGATCATAATAGAGAAAACCTTATGGGGCGGCTGGACTCTGTCATAAGAGACTGCTGTGAGCCAGAATGTGTCGACAGCACCCACAGCAGTACAGTGTCTATCAGTTGACTGTTAATTCTCTTGAGTTTTTATTTGAGAACTGGTTCCCAGTGATACATGTAAAAACACTGCTCTAGAATCATGTAGCAATCAAGGTACTGAGGATGCATTTGCTTTTATTGGTTAATTACTAGTGGAGATACTGATGATCCCAAGGACCAAACCTTTAAACCCTTTTATAAACATTGTCCTATCTTATGGTTTTCCGATTTATATAAACAACATAATTAGCTTGATGTTAAGACATTTATGAAATACGCAATAAACAAAATTTAATTGAAATCCATTAAATTAGCCTGAACTAAGAGTTTTGGTAGCCTAGTAGGTAAAGATTTGAGCTTCCAGCTCAAAGGCAGTTTGAATCAACCAGTAGCTTTGAGGGAGAAAGATGTGACATTTTGTTCCACTTGATTTATCCTCTCTGAAAACCCACTGGAGGGCCAACCATGAGTTGATTCTGTTTTGTGTGTAACAACATAAAATATCTGTATATCCAGCTATTGAGATGGCACAGTGACTCTGTACTCTGTTTTTGTTTTGTTTTCAAGTCTCCCTTTGCATGCGTTTGCTCTGGTTTGTCTGTCCTTACCCTCCTTCTCTGCCTCCTGAAATGGTGTTTAACCTTCAAAGCCTGTCTCAAGCAGACTCTTTCCTGGTGGCTTTTTCCTACATGCCCTAGATCTTTCCTTCTGTGCTCACATGCTTTGTTCCAGTCTGAATACTGCCAAGCAAACACAAAAGACAAATGCCAAACCAGATGCTGTGGGTTGGTTTCCAACTCAGGGCGGCCCAGTATGGGCCAACGTAGACCTGTGCTTCGTGGGGTGTTTAATGCTGGATCTTCTGTCTTTCATCGGAGGTGTTACTGGGCTCATTCAAACTCCCAGCCTTTCAGCTAGGAGCCAGGAGCATAACCATTTGCACTAGGAACTGTGAGCAAAGCTTAATTCTGGATAATATCTCCAATGTCTTCTCTCTTTGAACACATACCTACATGTACATATCCCAGAGTCCGACCTCTCTGAGGACCATAATAAATCTCATCCATTGTCTTACTTTGATACAAAGCACAGCACTTTGGGCTAGTTTTTGAGGTAGTGGTTGTGTGCCTCTAATTCATCCCAACACATAGTGGGCCCGCAAGGTTCCCAGACTGTGGTATTCATGAAAACAAATCCTTAGGGCTTTCTTCCCAAGGATCTGCTATAGGTGATCCATAAAATATAATGAAGTATTAAATTCTAAAGGGA